ACATTTTGTAACATTTCTATTGTGGGTAGAGACTGCCTTATAATTTAATTCTTTTATATTCTATATATTAGTGATACAATTTACAATAGTCTACATGGTTTACAAGTCTAAATTGTCTATACGCAACAAAAAGACCATGTAAACATCACGTAGATTTCACGTAAATAATCCGTGTAGACGTAATCTTGAAATCTACGGCACAACCCTGTTTATAACAGGACGAGAGATTCGCGTGAATGAAATTCTTCGAGTAATCGATCGTTCCAAGGACTGTAACCGCATGTGTTGCAACAGTTGCAGAACGTTGCGTCGCGCAGAGTGAGCTTGAACGGAGCTGCGAGGCTGGTGCGGTCGACGAGAAGCTTGAGAGATGGCTCGAGGGAACGTGTGTTGTCGCCCACGCTTCCGCCGCCGTCGGCGGTGGAGCTGCTCGGTGCACAAGCGCAGCCGGTAAGTTTCCTCGCGCCGTATGCGAATACAAAGCGATGACGGCCAAACGATGACAAGCAAAACAACTAACGTGATCCCCGCAGGTTCGACCGTACTCGAATCCGGCACGACGGCCGAGCTTTCTGTCCCAGTTCGTCGAGAATCTCAAACAGGAGATGCAGAAGAACAAGGAGATGAAGGAGTCGTTGAAGAAGTTCCGAGAGGAGGCTGAGAAGCTGGAGCAGTCGGAAGCGCTGCGGACGGCGCGGCAGAAGTTCCACGCGGTCGAGTCCGAGGCCAACAAAGGCTCGGAAGTGATCAAGGAGAAGCTGGATACGATTAAGGGAAAGGTATTATGTGTGCGATATTAACTCGTTGCCAGGGTTGCCACAGACCGGGAAAAGTCGGGGAAATTTAGACCAGCCAGGGAAAACTGGGAGAAGTCAGGGAAAGATATAAAAGAGCTTGGAATTTTGAACTTTACTCCTTAAAAGGATATCCACCCTGATTCTGTAACTCTTAACGACAGTTCAATATCAGTTATATTTTTTGTATGTATTGCTCTTTCTGATTTAAAAGTCCTTTTCCAGAATTGAACAGTAGAAAATAATAAAACAAAATGATTTTGTATGAAAATTGAAAACATTTTTAAAAATTACGATTTTGCTCGAGACTTCTCTCTGTTGTCACAATCGAAAGTATTCTGAATATTTAGTGATTAAAGAAATGTCTACAGGAATCTTTCTGCTTTTACCACTGAGTTTTTATCTGGTCTCTAAGCAACGGAAAATTCAGTTATACCAAAGGAATCTTTTTTTTTGTAATTTAATGCATAATATTAAAGCAACAATATCACAGATGCTAATAATTTGTTTGTATGAATTTGCATTTGGGAATGTATTATATTATTAAACTTCTAAATTTATGTTGCTTTTAATAATATAAGTTACTTTTCTTGCAATATGTTTTTTCTAGACATTAAAATTTAGAATTGTATATTCGATATTGATCATGGAAAATTTTCCACTGTCGTCTGGAAATCATGGGAAAGCCAGGGAATTTCAAAACTCATTTTTCTGATCCCTAAGCAACGGAAAATTCAGTTATACCAGAGGAATCTTTTTTTTTGTAATTTAATACATAACATCAAAACAACAATATCACAGATGCTAATAATTGTTGGCCTGAATTTGAATTTTGGATTGTATTATGTTATTAAACTTCTAAATTTATGTTGCTTCTAATAATACAAGTTACTTTTTTTACAATATGTATCTTCTAAACATTAAAATTTAGAATTGTATATTTGATACTGATCACGACAAATTTTTCTCTGTCTGGAAATCATGGAAAAGTCAGGGAATTTCAAAATTAATTTTTCTGATCCCCAAGCAACGGAAAATTCAGTTATACCAAAGGAATCTTTTTTTTGTAATTTAATACATAACATCAAAGCAACAATGTCATAGATGCTAATAATTTGTTTGTCTGAATTTGCATTTGGGAATGTATTATGTTATTAAATTTCTAAATTTATGTTGCTTCTAATAATACAAGTTACTTTTTTTACAATATGTATCTTCTAAACATTAAAATTTAGAATTGTATATTTGATACTGATCATGACAAATTTTCCACTGTCGTCTGGAAATCATGGGAAAGTCAGGGAATTTCAAAACTCATTTTCTGTGGCATCCCTGTGTTTGTACAGCGTATGACGTTTCGCATGCATGACTATTTATGTTTTCAAAAAAGGTGCAAGAAGTTATCGAGGAGGCGAGTAAGACTGAATTGGGTAAACGTGCCGGCCAGATAGGCGAAGAAATTACAAAGTCGGCCAAAGGCGCGGCGGAGACGATTTCCGAGAAGAGCCAGGCACTTGGTAAGACGGGTGCATTTCAAACGATATCACACACCGCGGAAGCTGTGCGGAATGAACTTGACCAACATGGAATTCTAGGTAGATAGATTTGGCTGAGTAAAGACACAGAGAGAAAGAGAGAGAAAGAGAGAGAGAGGGTAAAGAGCAGATTAAATTTCAATTATTGCGCTTGATGCAGGCAAAGTTTACGTTCCGCCTAAAAAGCTTAGAAAGAGAAACGAAGTGCCGATAGAGCCTAGAGAAATTGTGCCTGACCAAAGTACAACGGGCGTGGAAGTGCACAAGGACTACATGTTTTCCAATGCTTGGCAAAAATTCAAGGTACTATCCATACCTATATTATACGCCAGGATCTCGTACAGGGTTGTCACAAAACTGGAAATCAGGGAAAAGTCGGGGAATTTCACAAATTTTTCTGGAAAATTAAAATTCTCAGCTTCAAAGAAGTTTAATATGCGTATATCACACACTTGTAACAGTAGCTAACATTTTGTTAGCTAATGTAAACTCTCTTTTTAATAGAGGTTTAAAACGCTTCGCCAAGAGCATTCGAATTTTCAACTTGTCTACTTTTTATTGGAATTTTAAATTTATTTATTTAAAACTGTTTTTTTTACTTACGTCAGTAAGTTTCTCGTGTCGCTTGTGAACAAATTAATAAAATTACAATTAACTTCTTAAATTCTTCATATTTTTGTAATTCTTCTTTCACTTATATCGGAAGA